GTCGGACGCTTAACCGACTGCGCCACCCAGGCGCCCCGCGAATAAATAAACTTTAAAAAAAATACTGGAGGGTTGCCTGGGTGGTTCAGTTGGTTGAATGTCTTGCTCTCTATTTTGGTTCAGGTCATGATCCCAGGGTCATGGTATCAAGCCCCACATTGGGCTCCATGTTGAGCGTGAAGCCTGCTTAAGATTCTCTCTTTCTCCCTCTTTCCCTCTCCCCAGCTCTCTCTCTCTCTCTCTCTCTTAAAAAAATTACTGGAGGGGTGCCTGGGTGGCTCAGTCGGTTAGGTGTCTGATTTCGGTTCAGGTCATGATCTCACAGCTTGTGAGTTCAAGCCCCACATTGGGCTCTGTGCTGACAGCTCAGAGCCTGGAGCTTGCTCAGATTCTGTGTCTCCCCCTCTCTCTCTCTGCCCCTCCCCCACTCACTCTGTCTCTCTCTCTCTCTCTCTCTCTCTCTCAAAAATAAAAACATTAAAAATTTTTTTTAATTACTGGCAAATATGTATCAATTGTATATAAGAAAAAATTTTGTGTTCCAGCTTTGTAAAAACATGATGTTATCATCATCATCTCCTCTTCCATAGATATTCTATAAAAGGCTGAATGACTTCTCATCCAAAAGTCGTGTGTCAGGTAGGAGATCGGTCTGCAACAATGGTTGGCAAGCTATATAGTTGCAGGCCAAATCTAAACAGCGACCAGTTTTTATAAATAAAGCTCTATCACAGTCACTTCCATTTATTTACAGATTTTCTGTGGCTGCTTTTTTCTCACACTACAACAGCAGAGTAAAGTAGGTGTGACAGAAACTTTATGCCTAACAAAGGCTAAAATATTTACTACCTCACCCTTTATAGATAGTTTACTAACTGACCTAAAATAGTGGTTCTCAGAACCACCTGAAGAACTAATAAAAAATAGAGGTCAGGGCTTACTGGAATAAGGTAGAGCTTGATCTCTATATTTTTATAAAGTACCCTAGTGAACATTTTTGATAAGTTTTATTGAGGTATAATTCCCATACCATACAATGCATCAATTTAAAATACACAATTCAGGGGCGCCTGGGTGGCGCAGTCGGTTAAGCGTCCGACTTCAGCCAGGTCACGATCTCGCGGTCCGTGAGTTCGAGCCCCGCGTCAGGCCCTGGGTTGATGGCTCGGAGCCTGGAGCCTGTTTCCGATTCTGTGTCTCCCTCTCTCTCTGCCCCTCCCCCGTTCATGCTCTGTCTCTCTCTGTCCCAAAAATAAATAAAAAACGTTGAAAAAAAAAATTTTAAAATACACAATTCAGTGGTTTTTAATATATACACAGAGTTGTGCACACATTACCCAATCAATTCTAAAACATTTCCATCACGTCAGAAAGAAGTGCCATACCCAATAGCAGTCTCTCCCCATCTTCCCCAACTCTCACAGCCCTAGGCAACCACTTATCTACTTCCTGTCTCTATAACTGCATCTATTCTGGAAATATCATATAAATGGAAGGAAACAATATGTGATCTTTGTGACTGGCTTCTTGTACTTGGCATCATGTTTTTAAGGTTCATCCATGTTATAACATGTATCAGTATTCTTTTTATTTTTCTTAATATTTTAAAGTTTTTCTTATTTACTTTTTTTGAGTTTATTTATTTATTTTGAGGGGAGAGGGGCAGAGAGAGGGGGAGAGAGAGAATCCCAAGCAGGCTCCGTGCTGTGCAGAGCCCAATGTAGGGCTCAAACCCACAAACTGCAAGATCATCACCTGAGCTGAAATCAAGAGCCAGACGCCCAAAAGACTGAACCACCCAGGCACCTCTTAAGTTTTTATTTTAATTTCAGTTAGTTAATGTACAGTGTTATATTAATCTCAAGATGTACAATAGAGTAATTCAACACTTCCATACGTTACACCATTTATTGGCAAATGATATTCCATGATATGGGTATACCACATTTTGTTTGCCTATTCATCAGTTATTAGATATTTTGGTTGTTTCCACATTTGAGTATTAGGAATAATATTGTTATGAACATTCACATATAAGTGTTTTATGGACATACTTTTTCTATTTAACTCAGGAGTGGAATTGCTGGGTCAAATGGTAACTATTTAACTTAGTGAGGAACTAATAGTTTCCAAAGCAACTGCCCAATTTTACATTCCCACCGTCAGTGTATGAGGGTTACATATGTAACCCTTGCCAACATATGTGATTATCTGTCTTTTTGATAATAGCCATCCTACTGGTTCAAAGTGGTTTCTCATTGTGGTTTTGATTTGCATTGCCCTGATGGCTAATGATGTTGAACATTGTTTCAAGTGCTTATTCCTCAGTAATTCTGAGGCACACTTAAGTTTGGGAACGATTAAGAAGTCTTTATGTACTTTAAGGTCCCTTTTGACATTAATGGTAACATAAAGACAGAGCCAGAGAGGTGTATTACTCATAGAACTGCACTCGTTCATGCCTTCCTGTTCCACATGACACTGCCCTGTAGATTAACCTAGCCCTAACTCCTGTTTTATAAAGCACCAACTACCTTATTCCTTTTTCATTTTATTTCTTTTTCAAAATTTTAATGTAAATTTTAAAATTAACTTGACTATTGATTGTTTAAATCATTAATCAAGCAGTTCCATCTTCTAATTTTATCAGCATAATGGCAGATATGGTACTATGTGAATATGGATGGATATAAATGGGTATATTCAATACATATTAATAGAAACCTTAAAAAATGTTAGTCTTTAGAGAAAAGAAAATCAATTCTGTACCTTTCATGATCCATCAGCAGTTTAGCAACGTTCAGACAAAAGTCTAGAGACATGTCAAGATGTAGTATTTCCATGACAGCTAAAAAAGAGAAGATGAAATAATCATATCAGTTTCATTTCTGAGGAAACTTAGCTATTTTCAGTAACTTTCCTTTGTTAAAAATCTACTTTCTAAACGTTTGCCATACACCACATCTTGCCTAATAATTTATCAAAATCTTTTGGGGCATCTGGGTGGTTCAGTAGGTTAAGCACCAGACTTCAGCTCAAATCATGATCTCACAGTTCATGGGTTCGAGCCCCACATTGGGCTCTACGCTGACAGTGTGAAGACTGTTTGGGATTCTCCCTCTCTCTCTCTCTCCCCCCCCCACCCCCCCCACTAGCTCTTTCTCTCTCAAAATAAATAAACTTTAAAAAATATTTTTATAAAGACATCCAATGCTAGAGTGTAGTGAAACAGGTACTCTTCTAAGGATGTTAAAGTAACTTGATACAATCTTTCTGAAAAGCAGTTTGGTAATACCATATGCTATGAACACAGTGGTTAAAAGCTTGAGACTTAAAATCAGATAGACTTATATTTGAAACCACTTGCCACCTATATGGTTATAGGCCATATAGGCTATAGTTTTTTCTGAGCCTTAGTTTTGTCATCTGTAAAATGGGGAATATATCACCAGTCACTTAGGTCTGTTGAGAGTGTTACATGAGATAATGAATGAAAATTACATAGTAAAACACCTAGAACTTAGTAAGACTCAGTAAATGACACCTGTTGTTGTTATTATGTATCCTCTCTAATGCAGAAAGTATACTTCTGAAAAGTCATCGGAAATATGGGAAGATGTTTATAAGCAAAGATATTAAAATCAGTGTAGATATAATAACAATAAAAAGGAAATATATTCTCAAATGTCCACTATAGGCAGATGATAAACTATTATGAAACTATTAAAAGTGTTGAATATGAAATAACATAGAAAAACTGAATATGCACTAATATGAAAAATGTTTATAAGACTAGTAAGTAAAAAAATCAGAAAATAAAGCCTGCATGTATTATATGGTCAAAATTCTATAAAACAAACAAATTTAACCAAAATAGAAAAATGCTGAAATTAAATGATCAAACTGCCAGAAGTGATTGTGTTCAGATTATTTATATACCAAATAACTAGCAAGTGTATTCTCCGTGCCAGGAACTATGATCAGTGCTAAGAACCCAGTAGTGGACAAAACACAAAAATCCTTATTGTACATGAATTGTACAGTGAATGATGAAGACTATGAATATCTTTTCCATAGTCTCATGGAATGCATACGGACAACTTTTCCAAAAGTTCTCTTTAATGCGTGTTGCTACTCTTTCATAATAAAAAAAAATTGTATATTTTTTGATTTCCACTTTTTTTACTTACAAAAAATACTGGTGAAATGCTAATGCCAGCAGTTAGAGTGACCATTTTATTTTTTTAAGTCTATATATTCATTTTGAGAGACAGGTAAAGAGTGAGCAGGGGAGGAGCAGAGAGAGGGGTAGAGATAGAATCCCAAGCAGGCTCCGCATTATCAGCGTAGAGTCCCATGCAGGGCTCAATCTCACAAACCATGAGATCATGACATGAGCTGCGACACTTTCCCAATGAGCCATCCAGGTGCCCCAAGATTGACCATTCTGAGTGTAAAGTACTTTCACTAGCAAAGAAATGAACAGACTATAAAAAATGCAAGTTTCATATATTCTCTCAACACAACAAAGTAAAAGATAATTTAATATTTTAAGCTATAGAAAACTTGGATTCAGAGAAGTCTCTTAATTTGTAATCTGACATAGCAACTTCATTACTCTGAATACCAAGAAACTAGATTAAATAAAAACAATCTGGGAATAAAGAATAATTTCATTTTAAGCTCTGCTTTTTATCTGTGTTTTGGTAAAATTTGTAATGGAGAATTCTAATCTAAAATTAATCAACTTTAAAGTAGTTGACTCCAGGGGTGCCTGGATGGTTTAGTCGGTTAAGTGTCTGACTTTGGCTCAGGTCATCATCTTGCAGTTCTCAAGTTTGAGCCCCACATCGGGCTCAGTGCTGACAGCTCAGAGCCTGGACCCTGCTTCAGATTCTGTGTCTCCCTCTCTCTCTGCCTCTCTCTCTCTCTCTCCCTCTTAAAAATAAATACACATTAAAAAAATTATTGTGGCGCCTGAGTGGTTCAGTCAGTTGAGCATCCGACATCAGCTCAGGTCATGATCTCATGTTCGTGAGTTTGAGCTCCACGTTGGGCTCTGTGCGGACAGCTCAGAGCCTACAGCCTACTTCAGATTCTTTGTCTCCCTCTCTCTCTGTCTTCTCCTGCTCGTGCTCTGCCTCTCTCTCTCGAAAATAAACATTAAAAAATTTCATAAAAATATAAAGTAGGTGACTCAAAAAATCTCTCTGGTCTCCCTATATTGTATTGGTTTCAGTAAACCTATTCCTCTAATTGGTTAGTTGATTTGTTTACTCTCCGACTACAAAACAAGTGGAGTTGTCCTCCTGGTTCCTAACATTTTTCAGCCTGTGTATACTGAGATGATACCATTTACCTAGAGATACAGAATCCTCTATATATTTCAGCCTGAGGTCTCTTATTGATTAGCTAAAATTTTAGAGGCACAGAAAGTTTCAGAAACTAAATTAGCACTAAATTTAGAGCTACTACTAAATTTGATTATTGTCCTATTTATTACAAATTGTTATTGTTGGGGCGCCTGGGATGATCTCACAGTTCATGAGTTTGAGCCCCGTATCTGGCTCTCTGCTGATAGCTTCAGATTCTCTGTCCCCTTCCGTCTCTCCTGCTCCCCTGCTCCTGCTCTCTATCTCTCTCAAAAAATAAACATTAAGGGGCGCCTGGGTGGCTCGGTTGGTTAAGCGTCCGACTTCGGCTCAGGTCATGATCTCACGGTCAGTGAGTTCAAGCCCCGCGTCGGGCTCTGTGCTGACAGCTCAGAGCCTGGAGCCTGTTTCAGATTCTGTGTCTCCCTCTCTCTCTGCTCCTCCCCTGTTCATGCTCTGTCTCTGTCTCAAAAATAAACAAACGTTAAAAAAAAAATTTTTTTTAATAAACATTAAAAAAATTTCAAATTGTTATTGTTTAATGGATAATCAGTTATTATTATACTAGAATATACTTTAATATAGTAAAAATAATGCAGCTCTATAATGCAACTATATTTTTATATAAAATTAAAGCATGTACACATTAAAAATATTTAGAGTCAATTATTTTATGACTAAACATAGTTGAAACACTATTAAGTGGTCAGTGTGCATAGAAAGACTTTTGGTAGTAGTAACAGCAATAGTAGCTACAATAATATGTAACATGTTTTGCACACTCTGCACCAGGTATGGTGCGAAATGCTTTATATACATTTTCTCATTGGATTCTCAAACTAACTAATCAGGTAGACATTATTATTTTATCTCTTTGAAGATGAAGAAACTGAAGCACAGAAAAATTCAGTGACTTGCCAAATGACACACAGATGTATATCAGGATGTTTACCCTGTGAGGTGTAAGAATTTTGAAAAATAAATAGCAATGTTTATACAAGTGATTATAAAAAGCACAGCACTACAAAGGCTTTTTCTATCCAAAGTTAATCTTTTTTCATTGTGGTAAACAACTTCAGAAGGGTTGGGCAGCTGCAATTTTTGCTAAGCTAAAAAAAATTGGTAATTCTTATTCAGCTTTTTTCACTACCTAGTGTATTTGTAACTATTCCCTTTTCCTTCTCTTTTTCTTCCTGGCTAACAATCTTCTCCCTTTCCTATGTGACCAATTTCCTTCTCAGTCACCGTCAAATTGCACCTATTATTAGCATACTATAAACGATCTGATATTCAACAAATTGGTTATGATATTCCAAAATTGTGTGCTCTTCACACAGATGATACCTTCATGGAGTTCTTCATTGGCTGTTTCACTCTTCAAGAGGATTTTCATCTTTAGGAAAATCCCAGCTGGATTTAAATGTTCCTATTTTAAACAGAGAAATCACAATGACATTAAAACTGTAGAATGTAAAAGACAGTTTTCAAATAATTGCCTGTTTTGTTACATCATAGCAGAATAACTCATGATCAAAGAAAATCAAAATTATAAAAGATCAGATCACAAAATCCAGTTTATCCCTGAGGATATTTTCTGATATTTTATTCAATCTAAATGAAATAATAGAAGGGAAAAAAAACACATTTGATTGAGTGGCAAGTATTTAATGGTAGGTCAATAAACTGTATAAATATAAGGCTGTATTCTTACCCTTGTAAGCAAAATTCAATGTCAATTATATTTGCTTTCTTTTGAGATTTTAATAACAATTAAGGTCCTTTGGAAACATGGTTGAATGAAATGAAAATATACTGTCTTCCCTGCAGGACATGCCTGTCCGATTTACTATTAATAACAACGTACTCTCAACAGTTTTTCCAAATCCTTGTTAGCTGGTTCTACGCCATCTGTGGGTTTCTTGCCTAGTTCCACTTTTGCCTGACAGAACACATCTTTACACAGCTGGCTAAAATTAAAAGTGCAGTCTAGGCCCACAGAAGAGAGACTTTCTCTCTACAAAGCCAATCAGCTTCTACATGAACATTGTACTCAGCTCTAAACACAGCAAATAATTATAGCAATTCATGTGTGAGATGCCTTAAGAATGGAAAGTTAGGGAAAGTATGCACTGGTATTAAAAGGGTTTGCAAATATAGATGACATAAATACAAATAATAAGCTGAGGTTGCAAATTTTAATTTATTGCATTACTTCATTTCCTAAAAGATACGTTGAAATAGGTCTTGGATTAAATTCCCTTTTACCTTCAGAGATGTACATGTCTTCCAAATCTTGGCAGGATCTGTTTTTCTTCAGTCTACCACACTCACACAAGTTGACATTCTGGTTTTCTCTTTGATTTCATTAACAAACAATTCCAGAGAATGGACAACACTTTGCATTCATTGTATAATCATAGATTCACTTGTATAACATTTACACTATAGTGTCTATCCTTGTTTCCTGAAATTACACTTTCAGAAATCATAACTACCTGTTAAATCCATCAACTTTCTCCCTACAATATTCTTTTCTTTTCTGTAACTTTTCTCACTGGTGTTTCTCACTCGATTTCACGCATTCCCCAACCCACCTCCCTTCTGGCAATCACCCGGAAAAAAAAAAATGTAGGGCTCTTAATATGAGAGAAGCATTTTTGTTTTACCTGGTATCATCTGTGAATTGTCACTAAGTCAAGGCAATTTAATTATATGTTATTTTTTACTAAATATAAAAGATACCACCAAGGGGCACTTGGGGGCACCTGGGTGGCTCAGTTCATTAAACATACGACTTTGGCTCAGGTCATGATCTCTCACAGTTTGTGGGTCCAAGCCCCACGTTGAGCTCTGTGCTGACAGCTTGGAGCCTAGAGCCGACTTTGGATTCTGTGTCTCCCTCTTTCTCTGCCCCTCCCTGGCTCACATATACTCTTTTTCTTTCTCTCAAAAATAGACATTAAAAAATACCACCATTTTCTTTTTTACTTCTAATTTTCCATTATAATGCAATCTGTATATCATAAAAAAATAAAGAGCAGGGTGCCTGGTGGCTCAGTTGGTTAAGCGTCCCACTTTGGCTCAGGGTATGATCTCCGGGTTCATGGGTTCGAGCCCTGTGTCAGGCTGCTTTGGATTCTGTGTCTCCCTCTCTCTATATCCCCTACCCTGTTCGTGTTCTGTCTCTGTCTCTCAAAAATAAATTAAAATGTTAAAAATTTTTTTAAAAAATAAAGAGCAAATAAATTAAAAAAGCAGGAATACTGAAGCAAATGGCTAAACTAGATTTCAAAATGTGAATCAAAGCTTTAAAAATTCATTAAGTTAATATGCAAAACTAAAAACCTTTCATACCTTGTTTGCTAGGTTTACAGCATGGAGAGCCTTATCACAATATTCTCTGTCATTCCAATCCAAATAAGCAGTGGCTAGTAACCGAAGAACTTTAGCCTAGAATTAAAAATAGAAAAAGCACTCGGTCGAGGGTTAAATTGCAATACAACAGCTGCCTAGCACTTACAAAGTGACAGGCATCTTCTCAAACTTAAGTCATTGTTATGAAATAGCATTTCCTTAGGTAACCACATAGTCTTGGGTTATGTCTCATCATTATGCTGCCCACATCAAATACTGTAAGAATTTTATAACAGCTTATTTCAATTTAATACAATTGTGTTAATATAATGATTTTCCTAACTGTTTTAGCACTGAAGTACTTTGTTATTCTCACTTTAAAAATAAAGGAAACTAAAGCACAGCAATATTCAATTTAATCATCTTCCCACCTATTGTATAGGTAGCATTGCATTAGGCCTTCATCAAAAGAGATAAATAGAAAGACACAATCCCTCTCTCAAATACTTTACAGCCTACTTGAGATTAACCAATTGGACCAAGAGCACACATACCTTCATTTTAATAGTGACTCATATACTTTCCTGTAAAGAAGATCTCTCCTAACTCAGCTAAGTTTTAAAATTAATAATGTATTCCTGAATAAGTCAGTTTCTCCAACTAGGTTTACATTGATAAGGGGAATAACTCTAGCCAGCATTGATATATTTAACTACAGACTTAGATTTTGAAAGAAGGAGCTCTATTTCACTAAAGAATCTGCCTCTAAATATAATGAGGATGTTGGGACCAGGCAAAGATAATCTTAACATATTAGAGCTCTGTAAATCTAGAGAAATGGTACTTAGTGTGTCCTATTTCTGAGTTTTTAAATTCAAAAAGATGGATCAAATAAGATGTATACAATGTACTTAATATTATTATTATTATTATTATTATTATTATTATTATGGAACAACTCTCAACTTATAAACTCCCCAGAGCTTTTGTAGAGTAAATATGGCATCTCTAAGAAAACCTGTAACTATTTCATAATACTAAAAGAGTCAAATAATCAGAAAGATGTAACAAAATGAATGAATCTCAAAACCATTATGTAAGGAAAAGAAGCCATACATAAAACAGTAGATACTATATGATTCCATTTATACAAAGTTCAAGAAAAAACAAAAATAATCGACAGCCACAGAAGCCAGAATAGTGGTTTTATCTTGGGGCTACAAATGGCTATTAACCAGAAAGGGCCAAGGGAACTTTTGAGAGTCATGGAAATTTCTGTATCTTGATCTGTATGGTAGTTACAAGACTATCTAGACATGTTAAAATTCATCAGGCTGTACACTTAAGATTTGTACAATTAAAAAAAAGATTTGTACAATTTAGTATATATAAACTATACTTCAATAAAGTGCTGCTAGCATGAAAGAAAAACTACTTCATAATCTATTTCATGATCTTACCTCTCCATACTTCACCATATGAATATGACATTTCAATCATGCTTAACTACTGTAGTCTTCCATCCCTAATCCCTCCTCCAGACATCATCTCATCTTGGTCCCTTGCCTGGTATTCTCTTCTTTCTCCACTTTCACTGTATGGACCCCATCTACTTTTCATGGCCTTCTTACCAGAAAGCTTCTTCAACTGCTCTGGCAACCCTGATATTTCCCTTTACTGTACCACACAGTTTATCACTTATTTTTCCCAATTGTTTCATTTATGCTAGTTTTTAAAATCTATTTTTGAAACTTTAACTGAAGTATACAATACATACAAAAAAGTTCAAAACCTCAACAGTACAGCTCTGAATTTTCACTAAGTTAGCACGTGTATGATAACAACATAGAAATCAAGAAACATAACATTAACAGCAACAGGTTCACCTCAAGACTCTCTTTGACATGATTTCCAAACAAGAGTAACCAATTACTTGTTTTCCAGTACCATGTACACTTTAGCTCTACTTGCTTTTGGCATTTACATTTATGGAATCATACAGTATGTACTAATTTATAAATTGCTCTGTTTATTCAACATTGTATGTGAGAATATATCATTGCAATTATTGTAGCTCATTTATTCTCATTCCTATATAATATTCCATGTTACACTATAACAATTCTTTTATTATTTTAATTGTGCTAAAATACACATAAAATTGACTATCTTAACCATTTTTTAAGTGTATGGCTCAGTAATATCAAATATATTCACACTGTTGTTCAATTATTACCATCACACACCTCCAAAACTCTTAATATTGCAAAATTGAAACTCCGTATCCATTAAACAATAGGTTCCCATGTTCTCCTCCCTCCAAACTCCTTCAACCACCATTTTACTTTATGTCTCTATGAATCTGACTACATCAAGATACTTAAATGGAATCATACAATATTTTTCTTTTTGTGATTGGTTTATTTCACTTAGAATATTGTCCTCAAGGGGCACCTGGTCTGGCTCAGTCAGTTAAGCATCCGACTCTTTTATTTAAATATAATTTATTGTCAAACTGGTTCCCACACAACACCCAGTGCTCATCCCAACAAGCGCCCTCCTCAATGCCCATCACCCACTTTCCCCTCTCCCCCACCCCCCATCAACCCTCAGTTTGTTCTCTGTATTTAAGAGTCTCTTATGGTTCGCCTCCCTCCCTCTCTGTAACTTTTTTTTAGCATCCGACTCTTGATTTCAGCTCAGGTTACAATCCCAGGGTCTTGGGATGGAGCCCCGTGTCAGGCTCTATGCTGACCTTGCAGCCTGGTTGGGATTCTCTCTCTTCCTTTCTCTTTGCTCCTCCCCTGCTCATACTTTTTCTCTCTCTCTCTCAAAATAAATAAACATTAACAAAAATAATTCTGTCCTCAAGGTTCATCTATGTTGTAGCATATGTCAGAATTTCCTTCCTTTTTGAGGCTGAATAATATTCCATTATATTCATTTCTATTAGTTGTACCCTTCAAACAGAAGCTTTTTAAGGGTAGAAGTCATGTTTCACACTTCTCTTTTAGTCCCCAACTATCGCATTGCTAGATATACATAGGTATTCAGTTATATTTTGATTGACATACCGTAATGATAAGAAGGAAAGATGAATATTCAAAGAAAATTCCATTTTGCTATGGTATATATTTTAAATTACTTTTACATCAGATTTACTTACCTAATCATATTTTACTTGATTAAATATTAAAATACCAAGCACATTCTATATGGGTAGTTAGGGGAAAATCTATATTTTTAACATGCAATAATAAAATCTAAAATTTACATAGCTAAACACTGTTCCAAGTGTTTACATATATTAACTCATGGGTATAAGAATCTACCATACAGGTAAGATTCTATTAGTATGTAATTTTATAGAAACTAATGTACTAAGATATTAATGATGTGCCCAAAGGATAATCTACTCAAAAAGGGGTGATAGACTATTATAATTTAGTAACAATAACATAAAATGTATTTCTTCAACCTACTTCTGCAATATTTAACATGATCCTTACCAGCATTTCTGGCCCAATAGTATTCTTATCCATCTTCCCAATATCATAGCTTTGGCTATCATTAAAAAAAAGGAAAAAAAATACATGTTCATTTCAAATTATATTTTTAAGATTATGTATCACTAAGAAGACATGGTATAATTAGACTTTATTCCAACTTTTCTATTTCGCACTACAATATATTATTAGCCAATTAATATAGGAATATCAATTATATAAAGCAATTCTTTCAAGCTGTAAAAAAACCACAATTTCCTCAGGATGTATAGCCAATAAATCAATACCATATTATTGTTCTTTCCCATATTGTTCCTATATAGATGTCCTACATATATAGTATTTTGCTGCATTAAACTAGTTCACTTGTGTACATAAGGTCTTATTCAATGAGCACATTTTAAAGTCTAAGAAATAGGAATACATTTTTAAAATAAAACAAATACAGGAGTTTTCACAGACACAAATGCTTCAGCAGTATTTATTAAGCTTCACAACACCCTTGTGAGGCACTATTAGTTCCATTTTGCAGCTGAATGGACCAATTTAGCAGTTAAGTGATTTCTAATATTTCCTAGATTGGTACTGAAAATGAGAGTGAAGGGTTGGGGAGTAGTGAAATTTGATTTCCAGTCTATGCTTTAATTAGCAAACCATATTATCTATGGGACATTCCAATAATCACAAATAATACATTAATATGAGCCTCAGGGTTTTAAAACCTAAAACTTAAAAAGCAAAACAAAGATTATTCACCATAAAATTGGTATTCCAAGGAAGGATGTCAGTAAAATTTTGGTGAGCTGAACTAAATTGAAGACATTACTTTGAAATACTCCCTTTAAAAAACTCTAAAAGACTCAAAATTACCAAACTGAGTTTTCAGATCACTAACAAGAATACAACATGAGCCTAGTTATTCTAAGCTCTATCTCATAGAATGGTCTCCTTTGGTATATTAAACCTACTTCCAGTTTTTAAAATAACCAATGAGGACAAAACTTCTGCAATGGTGGTATAAGGAGCTCTTGGACCTCTCCCCAGTGAAACAACAATTTGCCTGGAAAAATCAATTAAAAAAACAACCAGTTAAAGTCTCTGGGAATTTTCCTAAGGGCATATGGCAAATGGAAAAACATTTCTTTAAAACAACAACAACTAAATCTCAGTAAGAACAGTGAGAGTCTGTGTCATTTGAGTCACAATCTGCTTCTATCCACACCAGCTCCCTGTGATGAAAACTACTCCAGATGGGTGCTGTCAAGAAGGTAGTAATTCCCTTTCCCTCCAGCTCCTAGACTCCTAGGCTATGGTTTCACCTAGGAGGGACAGACTGCTAGCCTGTCTTATCCTCTCCAGGCCTGTGCTGTGGAAGTGCTATTCTGGTCAGGCACAATTAGAGGACAGGATCTTCCCTTACCCACCCAGTTTTCACTCTCAGGGTAAGGACTCGTACCCTAGATGTGACAGGTCAAGAATACTGATACCCTGATCACCTTCAACCAGACTCATTAAGCAGAGGTTCTATGCCAGGAGAGCATGCTAAGAAGATCAGCAGTTACCAATCTCCCCAATATCCACTCTGTGGATGCTACCAAAAGAAGCAAGCCATGCTCCCATTACCAACTCCAGTGGTGTGGCACACAGGTTCTGCCCAGGGGAAGAAACAGGCAATAAAGAAAAAAGAGTTCAGCATCTATGCTTGAGAGGACTGACTTATTTGGAATGAAGCAAAAAGTTCCTGCCTGAGGACACTGTCAAAAACAAGGGAAATTTTGGTAGTGAGCAATTTAAGAGGGGGTTGGTAGCTCTGTGGTAATAGTAGCAACAAGTGAAATAGCAGACCAGAAAGATTTTTAACAGAGAGAACCAGGGAAAGGGATAGCCAAGAAGAATAATGTGGGAGGTCACACTCATCCCTGGGGATACAGAAGGCTATGCATATGCTCTAGCTGCACCCCCTCAGGAGCAACCAGAAGGATATGTGGGGCAGACTAGAAAGCATTCCTCAAGGCACACACATATACATCAGCAAAAAGCCCTAAGCCTGGGACGCCTGGGTGGCTCAGTCGGTTAAGCATCCTCTTGATCTCAGCTCAGGTCTTGATCTCAGGATCATGCTTACGTACAAGCCTTACAGTTGGGCCCCACGCTGGGAGTGGAGCCTACTTAAAAAAACAAAACAACCCTGGGCCTGAGTGGCTCAAGTGACTTAAGTAGAACCTCTTACCAAATGCAGAAAATTTAACTACTCTGATCCAAGGTAATGGTAAGGAAGCTAAACTTAAAAATCAAATCACACTTCCAGTTTTCAGTTCCACATGTAAGGAACTTGGAAGTCACTACTTCATCCTAACAAGTAAAAAGCTGTAAAGACTAAAAAATCAACAACTCTTCTTGGATCCCTAAGAGAGGGGAGGACAAAGGGCAAACCACTGGCCCCCACATTGGAGAGATGGACAGGCAAATACAAGGAACTGTGGCTTACCACAGGAAGGACTCACCAGTGGAAACTGCCAAGGGAACCAGTGCTGAGGCAGGAAACTGTGAACTATAATTGACAGATTGCTGGAGGTTCATTGTGAACAAGCCTGAGAACTTAAAACTCCAGGAAAACATAGTCTTAGGGGGATACAGACAATATTGTCAGATTTACCTCCAGGAGCTCAAGATTCCCATAGTAAATAGCAAAGAAAATCCTCTTGGGCTCTGTCAGGAATTGATGATAAGGAACCAATCTGTTCTTAACAAGGCCTGCCTTCAAGAGAAACTAACTAGTGTCTAACTTCCTGGGGTATTATCAGAGACTAACTGACCTGGGGAAGAGAAACACTCAACTCTAGACTACTCTAGCCAGGCTATACTACCTAGGAGTGAAAAAAAAAACTGGTAAATATTTGTGAAGTTCACAGTTCAGAGGCATACACTCACCAAAAGACTAAGAACTAAACACAGGACTATAGAACTCTTACCCTCCCCAACACCTAACCACCATGTTAGTAGAGACCTATTTACAGGGGTGCCTGGGTGGCTCAGTCGGTTGAGCATCTGACTTCGGCTCAGGTCATGATCTCATCAGTTGATGAGTTTGAGCCCCAAGTCGGGCTCTGTGCTGACAGCTCAGAGCCTGGATCCTGCTTCAGATTCTATGTCTCCCTCTCTCTCTGCCCCACCCCTGCTCATGCTGGCTCTCTTTGTCTCAAAAATAAACATTTAAAAAAGACCTATTTATAGCAGTTCCTTTTACCCAGTACAACATGTCAAGTTATCAAGAAAAAATCACAAGGAATACCAAAAGGCAAAAAGAAACACAATTTGAAGAGACAGAGAAAGCACTGGAACCAGATATGGCAAGGATATTAGAATTAACAGTCCAGAAATTTAAAATAAGACAGATGGGCAATGTAAGCAAAGAGATGGAAATTCTAAAAAAGAACCAAAAAGGATTGCTAGAACTAGAAATGACTGTAAATGACATGAAGAATGTCTTTGATGGGCTTTTTAATAAACTGGACATGGCTGAGGAAACAATCTATGAGTATCCTTGAAAACAAAAAAGCAAAGGGAAGAAAGACTGAATAAAAAACCAGAACAGAATATACAAAAACTATGGCACACCTACAAAAGTTACAACGTAAGTATAATGGGAATACAAAAAGGAGTTAAAAGAGAAAAAGAAACAGGAGAAATATTTTGAAACAATAATGAATGAGAATTTCCCTAAATTAATGTCTGATATCAAACCACAGATCCAGGAATCTCAGAGAACACTAAGCAGTATAAACACCAAAAAAAAAAAAAAATTACACCTAGGGATATCATTTTCAAATTACAGAAAATCAAAAATAAAGAAAAAATCGTTAAACAAGCTAGAAGAAAAAAATACCTTATCTATAAAAGTACAAAAATAATAATTACACCCAACTTCTCAGAAACCATGCAAGCAAGAAGAGAATGCAGTGAAATATTTAAAGTGTTGAGAGAAAAATACCACCAACCTAGAATTCTGAACCCTAAGAAAATATCATTCAAAAGTAAATGAAAAATAAAGACTTTCTCAGATAAACAAAAACTGCGAGAATTTGTTGTCGGTAGACTAGCCTTATAAAGAATGTTAACAGAAGTTCTTTTTTTTTTTTTTTATATTTATTTTTGGGACAGAGAGAGACAGAGCATGAACAGGGGAGGGGCAGAGAGAGAGGGAGACACAGAATCGGAAGCAGGCTCCAGGCTCCGAGCCATCAGCCCAGAGCCTGACGCGGGGCTCGAACTCACGGACCGCGAGATCGTGACCTGGCTGAAGTCGGACGCTTAACCGACTGCGCCACCCAGGCGCCCCCAGAAGTTCTTTAGAAAGAAGGGAAATAATACAGGTCAGAAACTCGTATCTGTATAAAATAAGGAAGAGCATCAAAGAAGGAAGAAATTAAGGTAAAATAAAAACTTTTATTTTTCTTAATTTTTCTAACAGAAAACAATTTGAAATAATAGCAACAATATATTCAATTATGTATGCTTATTTATAGGCTATATATATGTATATGTGTATATATATATATATATATATGCTTAGAATAAAGTAAAATAAATGACAGCAATGATACAAATGGATGGGAAGGGGGAATTCTGAAGAATTCTTACAAAGTACTGACACTACTCATGAAGTGGTATAGTGTTATCTGAAAGTGGACTTGGATTAATTGTAAATGTATATTGCAAACTCTGGGGAAGCCACTAAAAAAGTTAAAATAAAAAAGAAGTGGGGCGCCTGACTGGCTCAGTTGGTGGAGCATGTTTCTCTTGATCTCGAGATTGTGAGTTTGAGCCCATGCTGGGTATAGAGATTACTTAAAACTAAAATCTTTTTAAAAAGTAGTATAACCTATATGCTAATGAGAGAAAGATGGAATCATAGAAAATACTCAACTAAAACCACAAATGACAGTAGGAAAAAAGCACAAAGGCAAGAAATAGACAACAGTAATGAATATTGTAGATATTAATCCAACAATATCATCATCACTTTGAATTTCAATGGCCTAAATATACCAATTAAAA